CTTTTCTATAGCTTTACACTTATGTACATATTTGTGCATGAATGTGGGTATATGTGAGTGTATATATGTATGGGTACCCACACGGGTGGCAATAAGATAACAATCAAAAGAGTTGATTCTCTCCTTCCGTTATGTGGGCTTCTGGGTTTGAACTCAGGCTATCAGACTTGGAAGCAAGCTCCTTTTCCTGCTGAACCAGCTTGCAGGTCCTCTTTGCACTTTACGAAAAACTTTGCCATACCATGTGATTTAGCACATTCTCTCATAATAATAGCATAGAAGATTTCCCAAAGGAGTATATTATGTTCTGAGGGCATAGTTCAGTAATAGAGTAAGAGCTTGTCTAGCATGCACAAGGTGTTGAGTTTAATTCCCAGCATGTAGCTATATCCACATGCATGCACACACATGCACACTCGTGCACGAGCACACACACACACACATACACACACACATATACTGCTCCAAAGAATGTATTAGCAAGAAGTCAACCTGTGACCTACTTAACAAGACATGATCCCTTATTGTTTCCTACTACAGCCTTTCTTCTTCTAATTGGAAAAATATGGCAAATGTTGGAACTACAGGAAATGATAGCACCAAGAGCTGTCACCTAGTGACATTTAGAACTCACTAGAAGTAACTAACATACAAGCAGACCCAGCGATGTGCAGAAAAAGAAACACACATGTGCACACAGACTCCATAAAAGCCTTCTATTCTTCATAGTCAGTTTTGATAGCTACATCATCAAAATTGACAAACTACGACACCAAAGAAAGAGCCTATAAAAGAATTGTCTATCTTATCCTTTTTTTAGGTATTAGTTTGAATATACACCAATATTATTTGCCATCATTTGCATATGTCCCAACAGTTATATCAAAACAATTGAATAGCAATAGCACTTCTTTAGACCCAGCTTAGACTGAAGTACACCTATATTATATATGTATATATGTATATGTGTATGTGTATATTATCTATATATGTATATATGTATGTATATATACATATATTATATATGTATATATGTGTTTATATATATAAAACTGCATGTGTTTTAATTTGTTAAGAATAATGCGTTCATCTTTCTAAATAAATTATATGAGTCTAAAATAAATATATCTCTTCCTCAAAGCTGTCTTTCACGGTTGCTACACAGAACAATCAATGCTTATTGCACAGAATCAACTTTTTCTTGCAGATGGACTCTGAGTGTCTCCCCTCCATCTAAGGTAGTCAGTACTAAGTTAAAATACCTAAATTCCCCAAAGAGACTTGTACTGTGTTTGGTCAGCCAAAAATACCGAGAGGCTAAAAGTGGCTACATTTTTTATAGATGGCAAAAGAATGTTCTACTAAAATGATATTAGGAAGGGCAATATTGACTAATCTGTTTCAAGAAGGAGAGAGATGTTTAAAATGTTTATAAACCAGTGTTGATCTTTATAGCTTTTTAAAATATGTGGTTTTTAGAAAGAAAAAAGGCTGCCTACTACTGAGATGTTGGAAGCCTGCAATCCCAGCAGTATGTCAGCTCAGGCATGAGGCATAGGCAATCTAGCAAGGTCCAAGGCAACCCAGGCTATAAGACTGTCTTAAAAAGGAATAGTAACTTGAGACTCATCCCATGCGCAGGCACCAATAGCTGACACTATTAATGATACTCTGTTATGCATGCAGACCGGAATCTAGCATGGCTGTCTGCTGAGAAGCTCCGCCCAGCAGCTGACTCAGACAGATGCAGAAGCCCACAGCCAAACAGTCGATTGAGCTTGGGGACTCTTATGGAAGAAATAGAAGGAAGATTTGCAGGCCCCACAGGGAATAGGAACTCCACAGGAAGAGCTGGACCCTTGGGGGCTCTCAGAGACTGAATGACCAACCAAAGAGGATACACGGGCTGAACCTAGGCCTCCTTGGACATATGTAGATGTGCAGTTTGGTCTTCATGTGGGTCTCGAACAACTGGATGTGGGAGTGTATCCCAAAAGCTGTTGCCTGTACATGGGATATGGTGTTCTAGCTGGGCTACCTGGTCTGGCCTCAGTGGGAGATGATGTACCTAGCCTTGCAGATACGTGATGTGCCAGGGTGGAGGGATCCCAAGGGGGATTCCCACCTACCCAGGGGAGAAGGGGGGCTGAGAGGGGGAAGAGTTGTGAGAGGAAATGATGGGGGGGTGAGCAGTGTGTGAGATGTAAAGTGAATAAGTAAAAACTAATTAAATTTTAAACATTAACAAGGAGTAATATCAGTAATAGTAATAGTAGTAACAACAGTAAATACATGAAAATATAAAAGAATGACATCTTGTGTTGTTGGCTATACAATACTTGTGAAGCCTATGCAAGCCATGGGTTTGATTCATAGCACTGCAAAAGAACAACAACAAAAAAAAAAAAATAAGAGAAGAAAGCATGTGATTGGCTCATGGTCACACTAGTAGATATTCACCAGGTGAACAAACAGATTTATTAGCAAATCGCAAGGCCAGAGTTTTAAAAAAGGAAGGGGATCAAATAGCACCAGTTTTGAAAAAAAAATTATGAGAGCCACTCAGTAGTGACAAAGGAGATGGAGGAGGAGGAAGGAAGAGGCGAGAGGAAGGAGGGGGAGGGGAGACGGAGGAGAAGGAGGAGGGGAGAGGAGAGGGAGGGGAGAGGGAAGAGGAGGAGGAGGGGAGAGGAAGGAGGGGAGAGGGAGGAGGAGAAAGA